TTTTGGGTGTGGGAAGCAAAAGTATCGATACTTCTAAATATAGGATCGTATCGAACATCCCTACTGTCAAGACATAACCCGACGATCTTGGGACAAATTTTACGAATAGTCTTATAAAGCATAGTAGAGTATAACAATTGGCGGAGCTTACTCCACTGGGACCAAGGGTTGACGGACCCCACACATGTGTCACTCGTTGCGGAGTTTTTAAATGTAATAATCAGCTGCTATTCAAATAATGTCCAATATAAGTATAACCTAGAATGTGTACTCAGTGAATCAAAAAAAGATATTGCAAATTCTATTTTTATGCAGGTTTTAAGTTTGCCGGTAGCTTTTCGATATATATTTGAATATTTCTTAATCGCTGTTAATATAGTGTGGATGTTTGTTCAGTTCCTGAACAGACAAAAAGTATTTGACTTTATGGATTTATGGATATCAAAAAACCTGAATGGTTTTGTGGGAATATCAGTCGACGGTGCTATAATGGTAATGATGAACGGCAAGTAAATGAATTAATGTTTGGAAACGAGCAATATCTATGAAATTTTTGGTAGAGCCTGTCATCAAGTAGGTGCTTAATGGCTATCTGCAAGAGGTTTATAGGAAAATACATACGGTAGGTGATGTTGAATCACTAAAATCGCATATCAATTGAAGAAAATGATATAAACATGAATAAACAACCGACAATATCAAATAAAAGTATGAATTTTATTCAAAAATTGAACACTTTTTTAAATTTTGACTAAATCATATGTAATTTCATAATATTCAGTAAGCTGGTGATGTTTCAATGACAAGCTGTCAGGTCATACTGTGACAGTATTTTGTTTTCAGCATTTCATGGCTATTGGTTGCTAAAATTTGTTGACTGGAACTTGAAGCTCATTCGCTGTATTTGACGAACCGTTACCCTATAGGTGGAGAATAACAGACTGTTGATTTGACAATCCTGATGAAATCCACGCTCAGTCCTGTATTTATGACTAACAGACGATAGTAGTTGAATTCGTGTATATCGGGAAGATTGACAGATATCTTCCCAAAGGATATTTCCTAGCGAGATAATGTAATAATTATAGTTTGGGGAGCTATATCGGTCTCCCCGAACCACCGACATGACGCTGATAGTGGAAACCGTTGCGACCCAAAGCCTCGTTCTTGTAAACGAGAATCGGTTTTTCTTTTCCGTGTTTTCCCCTGTTTTCTTATATGTTATGTAATATGCTTGGGGCAATTCCCTTGAAGTCAACACATAAGATTGGTTTTTAGTGTAATGGTACCCGGGAGAGTTTAATATGGGCTGGGGCCCTGGAAGACAGAGGTGCTGCAAGACATTTTCACGTGGGCAATTTAGTCATATCTTCGATTTATTCTGAGGCACTAACAAAGTCAAATCTCAAAGGGCATTGTCGAGCATATTTGCCAGCAATTAATGCTATGATGGTGCGCTTTGACCAACAAAATATAATCCACATCTAAAACAATGTTTCATGAACTTGGAACAGGATTAATGTGTCATTATAACTGTTTCCATTATCATTATCCCTTTTTTATCTCCCTTGTTTTTGCTATGCCTTCAGTGTAAACGAACTGACCTACAGATAATCAGATTCCACGAATCGCCATAAGTAGATGTGGAAAATAGTACGAATAGTATGAAAATGGTGAGGAAAGGTTCAAAAAAGAAAAAATGCTGAACAAGTAAACCAATGACTATGATTTCCCTCAATATTTAGTAATTAAGCATTTTAAGGGAAAGCGTTTGCGTGTCATGTATAGTGATACTGACGGCATCACACAGCAATTGTTGTGGAATGATGGAACTGTAATTTCCGTAAGAAAAATTTGTGAGGTGATTCGAACATGGGGTTTTTAGAAGATTCGAGAAGTATCACATCCATGTCAATAGCAAGGGGAGATTTTAGATCAGAAAAATACAAGGTGTACGATCTTGTTTGTCAGAGATGTATGTTCTATTGAGTATTTTCTCTGAACGGTAAGAGTTGTGCTTTTGGGTACTCCTTGTATCGAGAAGGTATTAAACCGCACTGAATTACTGCATTCCCAGATAATCCCAAGGCAGTAATAACTTCCAGGACTCCCCTCAAAGAATATATCGCTACCTTATTCTGGCCAGCTCAAACGTTCTTCTATGCGAAGCAGTGGATTAGATTTATTGTGCAAGGAAAGGTCTCAATAGCAAATAACATAACCAGTACTGAAGGCAAAACGTGTCGGAATGGGATGAAAAGGAGAACCCATCAAACACGACGAATGCCTTACGACCTCAATCACTGACCCATCTGCAAAGACTTTCTGAGAAGCATTAAGATCGATTTATGCCCAAAAGAGCAGCGTAATACAAAAGTCATTGTGTAATAGCAATAACTGTTCAATTTTATCGAAGTTCGGAACGAATCTGAGCTTAATAAATACCTCGACTTCATGAAAATACATCTGTTTCTCCTATCATCTATATGGGATTTATAGGAGCACAGGTTGTACCTTCAACCAGAGAAATGTGCTGTCACGCCCCAGTTGAATAATTCACAATCGGACATTAGCGATTCGTAATTGCATTTTAGTCGTCACGTCGTTTAATATGGTGCATGGCGACCGCTGATTGGTGGAAACGTCGGTCACTGCAAATGACGTTTAAAATTATAACGCCGACGCCGCTGGTGCTGACGCTCCAATGCGGTTGGATATCACGCTGAATTGAAGGATAGTAACTTAATTAAAATATACTGACCGGAATTGTATATTAACACTCTAGTAACGGTGCGGTGATCACTCATTATTTGGAAACTAGGTCTCGATTATATACAGTATCCCAAATTGATGATTGATGGAAACATTTCAGAATTGTCTATGCATGAACAAATGATAGATGGAGACCTGGCTATGAAATAAGCAATATGGTACACCGCACTATGTTACCTGGAAAAGGTTTAAATAATGCCAGAAGGGTGAAAACTTCCCCGGCGGACAACATCCTGAAAGATAGACACGGATGAGTTATCCAAACATGGAGTTATAACCCTAAAATCGACATTGCCACATCTACAGGCTCTGAACTGAGTTAACGCTAAAGTAATTTGCTAAAATTTCATCTATAAGCACTGGTTAAAACAACTCCCGTCATTAGATCAGTCCATTACAAAAGCTTGTGATTCATGCCTTTTACGACCACTTAGGTTGGTGGTCGCCACCTGGGGAAAAAAAGCTCAAAAGCAGTTTACAGATGCGCGCTCATTGAGGAGAAGAGAAACAGCTTGTGTCGCAGTAAAAATGTCATCTAGCAACGGCTTCTAACCACAGGTTTGTACCGTTACCACCGAGAGTACAAGGCCTAACAACAGACGCGTGACGTCACCACGAGTAGGCCGGTCGGCCGGCCGACAGCACGGCGTGCCGTACATCAGCGCTAGTGATTAATATATTATTGCAGCATATTTAATATACTCTACCTGATGTAAATAACAAAAAATTCAGAAAAGTGTTTTTGGTATATGAAGACAACTTGGTGGAAAATATTAAAGTAGTTATTAACTATTTTCACCCTGATTTTCACTGATATTTCATCCAACATTACGTGCACGTTAGATTAATAAGTTGATGTTATAAAAGATTGCTAAAAATGATAAATTCTTCAATGAATAACCCCATGTTAGTCACAACCGATCAACAAAATTTCACAGGAATATGTGGACAATTTACTATTATTAGAGGTATAATATAATGCTACTTGAAAGTTATATAAAAAATGTGCTTGTAGAACAGTTGTGTCGAGCAAGAACCAACGAGGAGGTCTGAGGTAAGCTCTTGCCAGGAAAGGAATAAGGAAGATGCGGAGGAAAAAGTGTAGGATAAATGATAAGGAAAACAGATAAAATCAAAGTAAGATAAACAGCAGAAAAAACATAACAAAGATTAACGAAAACTTAATAAAAACTCTAAGAACAAACAAATAACAGCATAAAATAATAACAAAAATTAGAAAACAGAGAACAAGTATCAAAAATAACAAAAATTAGAATAACGAAAATTAAACTGCTAAATTCTGAATATGTACAAATAAACATTTATCTACAGCTCTGTAAATGTTCCAGCCTCATGTGAATGTAGTCAATTTACGGATGTGGATAAACAAGGCTTGTTTCATTATCTGGAGAAAAATGTGCCATCGCTTTACTATTCAGTGCATTATTATCACCTACAACACAAAGAATTTTATAACCAAGTTCTTCTAATCCAATAATGAGTTTTTTTGTCATATTGTATAATAGATTATGATCAATTTTAGAAACAGGACAGATTTGAACAACTTCTTTGAAATAGGAGTAGAGGCCTGAAATCATAAATACATAGGCTGTTGTAGCTAACGAAGTATTATCAATTGACGTTCCTACAATATTACAACCTTTGAAATCTAAATATGGCTGAATGTTTATTTCATCCATCAATAAAATCAGGTACTACTCACCAGGTTTTACAAATCTGAAAAGGTTTTATGCATAGCCTAAAAAGTTATATCTCTCATCGGGAACTGGATCGACCGTCAATGTATTACATATTGACTTCAGAGTATTTTGGTGTGGTAAAATAAGTGTTCCCTGGCTCCTAATAAATCTATATGAATGTGGACTCATTGTATACAACATAGAGCAGAACACTATTGTTTCTGATGAGTTACTGTGTCTGTTCTTCTGACTAATAGCAAGCTTTAGTTGCTCACAAATAAATTGAATGACAGTGTGGGTCTCTTCATCGGTGAATAGTTCTGTGCTATTTAAAATATTGTAGGCATGGTTGATAGTGGCTCTGAACTGGTCTTTACCTGAATATTCCCTCGAAGCATCTGCATTCTCAGAAGAACATGCAGAACATCTTCCAAGTGGTGTATATTAGATAATAAAAATGGAGTTTTAATATTACCTGAGTTGAGTAACAATTATTGGGAGTACATATACATTTTTACATTGAGATCTTTATCAACAATTACAGAGTGAGTTATGATGGGTGCTGGTTTATATTCTCTGTAACTTAAACAAAGTAACTTTATCCTGATCAATTTTATGCCACCCATATGGACATTGCCACGGACTGAAAACTGTGAGAAACTCTGAATAATTTTGAAAACAAGTTGATTTTTGAAAGGATGAATAATCATCAATGCTAGTTTGCAGTGCTTTAAGTAGTTGTTCTTGTTCCTTCTCCCTCAATTTCTCATCTCGGCTTCTTCTGCTTGATATGTCCTTTGAAAGGTATTTTGGACAATTTGCAAAGATACTTGGAATTACATCTGCCTTTAATTTTGGATACTTAAGGGGTACAGTAATGGTCCTACCTGTCTTTTCGTCATGCAAGGTGGATTCCCAAATGATGCTGTCCTCAGCAAAGTGCAAATTACATACTGGGGTGTATTTTGTAACCACTACATCACTACGAGGGATTGCATTGAGCCATCTTTTACGACAGTTTTCATTCAATGGAAACGAAAATACGTGTACCGTCGGACCCTTCCCGTAATTACCGCCACAATTAGGAACGCAGCACTTGTAAAGCATTTTGAAAACTTAGCTAAACAATCGCGAGACACAAATATAAGTTTAAAACATCAATAATTTTCCGTTTACATAGCAAATATGAGGCTCAGAATGTGAGGTTAGTTGGCAAGGTTGCCACATCTTCCAATTTTGAATGGAATATTAGACTTCACAAGTGACAGATTGAACGTAATATCGAAAATGTATTCTTGACATACTGAGGCAGATCAGAAAGAATAATCACATCATCACTGAAGCTGCGCAGGCCCCGAGTACATCTTGCAAATTCGCCTACAGAGAGGTACAACTAATTAGCAGAGATTTCGATACTGCTATATCAAGCGTAGATATGACAACACCCCAGAGAAATGGTGGCGCGGTTCTCTTGCCAGGCAGTCGTGGCGAAACTCCATAAGAACATGCATAGGCCTACTCTGCGTGACGTCACAGGCTTTTCAGAGCCCAGTTGTTTGGCCTTGTACTCTGGGTGGTAACGGTTGTACTCTTCAGTGAGTTGACACTGCACCATCCCAAGAGGTGGCATAGCGTTAGCCCATTCAAACTGCGCGCCAACTTAAACCATTAATGCAACACCAATGGATCATGTTTATACTAGTGATGCTCTAATTCTAATCCCTTGTATAAAGCACAGCGCGTGACTCAAATGAGCTAGTGTTGTATGGTGTTAACGCACGGAATGGCACAGTCCTGTGGTAAGCCATCCACGCATGCCCAATGTGCATTAAGTGTACAAATTATAAATCATATTACCTAGACGATCACAATCTCTCTTAAATAACATAGTATGTGAGTCATAAACTTCTAGGAGCGAGTTACACTATACACCTGGTTGCTTCTAAAGCGGCTTGTGGTAATGATGCGAACAGGAAATGTCTTTATCAATTTCTCAACCATAAAAATGCATCAGTCGCTTTAAAGAACGCTTGAGTGCGTGTTATGTTATTAGGAAGAATTAAAGTATATGAAACCGAAACTACAAACTTTAGACTTCATGCAACTTCTGCAGGAGTTTTCTTCGCAGTGCCTTAGACGTAGTCGCACAATTAAACTTTCTACTTTTCTAATAACGTATTCACATAAAACATCAAGCCTACGTTTCGCTTAACGATCCAATTTAAACTTTCCTGTGGTAATTTTTCCATCTCCCTCTTTACACTCTGACAGAAAAAACTTGTTTTGCCGTCCAGAGAGTGCCATTTTAGGTAATATATTCCCGCTGTATGGGAGAATTTTTTACAATCAGAATAATAAATAAATAAGGAAATGAGATAGGATCATTGAAGTGACTCTTATTTTACAATTTCGTAACAATTTATGTTCGTATTTATCAGAAACGATATAGGCGCATAATAAATAGTTGACCAAAACCTGACATATTTACTGAGATAGCGTCAATGGTATTAACATGTGGAAGAAAGTACACTCTACTAATTAGGCAAATTTTGAGTCTCCTTTATTAATTAAAATCGTTGTTAGATAAGATAGGAACTTGTATACAGGGTGTCCGCAAAGTTGGGGTTTTCCTTTACACAACGTGTAGATCTTGAAAACATAAGCAATTTTTCTTACTACCATATACACCAATGTCTTAAGGGAACCGAGATAAAGGGCTCTGCAACATCAAAAATATCTAAATACCGTCCTGTAGCCGCGACCCGCGACATCACCGAGTGGTGCAAGGTCGCTGGCTCAACCCGACGACAGAACTGGGTCGGGGTCAGTGTGTCAGGTCAGTATGCAACCTTCAACCGACGGTTACGGTCACACGTGTAGAGGTTAACGAACACGTATAATCGACTGCGTTTCAAAAAAAATAATAATGGCACACTCATACACCAATAATGAACTCGTTGATATGTTGTTAATTTATGGCGAATGTCTTCAAAATGCTACAGAGGCTTCGCGAGTGTAAGCAGATCGTTTCCCTAGACGACATCATCCAAGGCCCCGCAGATTTGTGTACCTGGTACAGAGAGTCAGGGATACGGGCCATTTAGAGGAATTTCGAGGTGGGCACAGTAGGAGGCCTAGACAACCACGAATGGTGCAAGTTGAGGAAGAACTACTGAATCGCGTAGACGAGAATCCCTCAACAAGCACTAGCGACGTGACTAGAGAAGTGCAAGTATCAAAAACTAAAGTGTGGCAAACGCTGCGTGAAGAGTGGCTGTATCCGTTTCACGTCCAACGTGTACAAGCCCTTCAACCTGACGATTTTCCAGCAAGAGTGCGGTTTTGTGAGTGGTTGTTGCATCAACATGACAATAATTCGGACTTTTTGAAGTGCATATTTGTGACAGACGAGTCTACGTTCTCGCGTAATGGGGTGAATAACTTTCGCAACACTCCCAAATCGATTGGACAGGATGCAATACCTAGACTTTTTACGCAACATTTTGCCTTCCTTGTTAGAAGATGTGCCATTAAGTGTAAGACAATCAATGTGGTTTCTGCACGATGGTGCACCGCCCCATTTTAGACGCGAAGTGCGTGAGTTTTTGAATGAATTATTTCCGAATAGGTGGATCGGACGTAATGGACCCGTAGCGTGTCCTCCGCGATCTCCAGACTTAACACCATGTGATTTTTTTCTTTGGGGAGAAATGAAACGCTTAGTGTACAAAACTGAAGTGCATACGGTTGACGAACTTCGTCTCAGAATTGAACAAGCTGGTGCTTTCATTCGGGGCAGGGACTCCATTCTCAAGGCCTGCACCGATGCTTGGCTACGTCGTGCACGCACCTGTGTTTTTGAATCAAACGGCGATAACTTCGAACAATACCTATAAAGTACGTTTACCTAAAAACTGAAAACACGGCAACGCCGTCATATTTGTTACCTCTATTCGTGGTCTGTACCACCGCCTGCGTCTGCTCGGTAGCGCATCAGCTGATTTCATTTTCTGTTGGAGCGGTATGATTTCGGGCAGAGACGTACTTAGCCATTCTCGTCAACGGGAGAGTGAGTACTTTTTCCTTTATTTTTTTTACTTGGTCGCCCTCGTTTCACTACACATTACCTTTGTTATTTCAAGGGTAGTTGTTTCTGAAAAGGACAAACCCAACTTTGCGGACACCCTGTATATAATATGCATATTTGCCGATCATCATCTTTTTCATCATCGGTGGAATGGCACAATTTGTCATACGCGCTAAGAAATCGCTCCTAAAGCTCCATACAAAACGTGAATTGCACTGGCAACGGTTACGCTTCACCGTCAATTGTCAACTGCCACCAACTGACATCTGAACAGTAAGCAGGTTTGCACCATTTTATATTTTTGTTGTTTTCGGTAGCTGGCTACGGTAAATGGAATGAGCTGCTTTTGTATTTATGACTTTCATTTGTTACCAAATTTACGTTGTATATTCTGATAGTACTCTCTGACTATTCGTCAACCAAAAACTGGATCTTTGAGGCATGGCTCGTCATCTTCATACAGAACTAGCTAACCCGGCAGATGTTGTCCTGTCCCATCTAAACTGGAATGACTAATGAATAATAAAAATAAATGTATGGAATGTAGGTAATTGTACAGCGAAGTGTTTGTACCACCGTGAGACTAGCAGAATACGTTAACAGCACTGCCATTCCCCCATCGACATACCTGGAAAGTAGGCATAAAAAATTTTGGGGGCTGAAATAACCTGATTCCGCCCCTGTTACATATGCATCCAAACAAAACTGTCTAAAAGTATTAATATTTTTAAATCCAGCATAAAAAACTAGGCTAGAATACCAAATTTTATGTCTTTATCTCAACACGTTTCGGAAATATTAAGGAAAAACCATCTTCAGGGGAGCCCCTTTAAAAGACCGTAGCGCCCTTAGGGGACGTTTGTCGACCTATGTTTATATAAACTTTTCTTCCTATTTTAAGCTCTAGAAACCGCTGGTAGAATATTGCACACTTTTTTCGGGACACCCTGTATATAGCTTAGGCGCGAATTACACTGAAAAGGCGTAAGGTGAAGGCGCGGCGCAGGCATCTTGGCGCTTCAAAGGTTTTCAATACAAAATGTAGGTAGGCGACACGTTGTGAATTATACTCAAGCGGCGTGGCGCAGGCACGTCGTTTCGTCACCTGTTCCGCGTCGCTAGCAGTCGCGACTGGAGTGCTGCGCAAGCAATACGTCGTTTGTTATACAGGAGGAGCAAAAATGCGTGACGATAGTGAATTTAACTTACAGTTCTGCGAGATAGTTGAACAATATCCAGCTCTTTACGATTATAATAAGCCGGAGTACTCTAATAAAAATATGGAGAGAAATAGGATTAAAACTAGGTGCAACAGGTAAGTACTTTATTTTTATTTATTAATTATGTCTATTTTGAAATGGAACCGGAGATCGAGTTGTCATGTATGTTGTAAGATATTCTCTGATGATTTTAGGATCTTCCCTTGTTTGTTGCACGTTGATGTTTGTTCCTATTAAACTGTTATTAAAACGTGGAACCACGAGTTTCCCATCATATTTGCGGATAACATTATGCAAAACGCTCATAGCTTTTATAATGCTATCGACATTTTCTGGATCGCAGCAAACAGATGTGCTAAGGACGCTAAATTTAGTCCTTATCATACCAAAGGCACATTCCACTGATTTTCGTGCCCTTGACAATCTGTTATTAAATGCTCTTCTCTCATTTGTTAACTGATTTCGGCCATACGGTTTCATTAAGTTTTTCTTCAGAGGAAAAGCTTCATCAGCAATAAAATAATAGGGCACCATATTCGTTTCTCCAGGCAATGGAGTAGGGTGTGGTAAATTGAGGTTTCCTTGTTCCATAGCTTGCCCAAAGTAACTAACTTGGAATGCACGCCCGTCACTGTTTCGGCCATATTCGCCGACGTCTATAGTTAAAAACAGGCCATCTGCATCTACTACTGCCATCAATACGATAGAGAAATATCCTTTATAGTTTATGTAAGCTGAGCCAG